CCCTTACATGTCAACAAACACCGCAGTGCCAACGATGACGTTCAAGGAGAGGTAACACGTCCTCAGAACCAGAGAACAGAGTGGCTTTGCTTCCCACCAGGCAGAACAGTCCCAAACTGGGGGTCTGAACAAAAATAACCTTGACTTTTATAGACTTGGATTTTTTTCCCCCAAGGCCTTAGCTCATAATCTCATTAAACTTGATGGTCCAAAATAAGTTTCCCTGGGAAAGTTGGAAAGCTAACTCTGAAAACTTTGAAAACAAGTTTAAAAATGCATATTATTGTTAATTTAATTGCTAAAAATGATTATTACAAAAAGTCAGAAATATGAAATATAGAAGAATTCCGTTTTTAAAAGTTAATATCCAAATGGGGACTGGAGAGGTGGAAAAACCCCAATGGCAGAAACCATTATGTGCGTACTGCTATTCAGAAGGCTGGCAGTTCAAATCCACCTGCAGCTCTGTGGGCTGGGCAGTCTTTCCTGTAAGGACCGAAGTCATGAGTTAGAATCCATGCAGAGATTCTAGGGGCAGGTCCAGGGTTCCTGCTGAGAGGCTCTCAGGCTCTACAACATGATGGTTGCATTCTGCAGACTCTAACTCAACATGCTTTACTGGGATTAGTGGATACTTGGAAGGGGGAAGGAAGGGACAAGTGCAACGGAGACTCAAAGAGACAAGGTGACAAAAGACGTGGATCAACCGTAATTCATTCTATAACATACAATGTACAGAAATTAGTATTTAAAATGTAATGTACCCAAACCATCAAAGTATTCTCTTATTAACTAAAAAGGTCACCTTTTATCCACAGTAATTTTCAACAATGATAAAGTGGGGAAAGTGACAATCCCTCCTTCACCATCTCTCAAGTCCTACCTAGCCCCTTGGGAATAGCTCTGTTTAATGGAGGCTCTTGGACTTCTGCTTGGTCCTGACCAGAGTTCTCTGCATGTCAACCAAGCTTTGACAAAAGGTGGCATGGAAAGAGAACCATGAGCTGAAATTACTCTAACTTAATTGTCCAAATGACTTTTCCCAACTACAAAACAAAGGCACTCTTGGGTGGTAGCACTGAGGGATGCAAAGAGCCATCACGGGCTGCACTTCCAAAACAGATGAGGACCAAGTGACAGCCTCTCTCTGAGGGAGATACTCAAGGAGGCTCTAGGCAGAGCAAGAGGGGCATGCAGGACGCTTGGGAAAGATAAACTTGGACTTCAACCCAGAACAGTGCTGTAATAAGTTGATTAGCAGAAGGAAGAAAGGTGGAAGAATAAAAGTATTTCTGTGTTCACTACATAAAAATGATCAAAAAGCTTTCATTTTTCTTAAAGGTGTGCCTTTTACCCATTGATACTGTGTTTTATACAATAATTTATATACACTGTTTTTATGTATCACTTATACAATCAATTCCTTCAAGTCCCCATTGCACTCTGCCTTTTCTTCACCCACGTTTGCCCACTAGTCTCTGCCACCCCAGTGACTGCCCCCTTTCTTCTGCCTGCCTTCTCCCTCCCCTTCTGATCTCTTATGCATCTTATGTTCCCATTTGTTAATCATAACAACCGAGTTGTCCTTAGCTTGATTCGCCCCAGTTGAGCCTCCCTGACCCAGCCTTTCACAGTGTCCACTCTCCGTGCACTAATGGAGATAGTCACACCTCTGTTACAGCAGCGCTGTTCACAAGCAAGAAAATGGAGACGGCCCAAATGCTCAGCAACAAATGGATAGAGAAACTGTGGTCCATCCACACAGTAGAATACGACACATCACTAAAGAACAACAAACACTACACAACGTGCCAGAGTCTAGAGGGCATTATACTGAAATAATTCAGTCACAGAAGGACAAATACTGTGTAAGACTGCAGCTGTGAAACAGGAGGGTAACCGGAGGGTGCGAGGGAGAAAAGAAAGAGAACGTACAGGCAACAAACACTGTAAAGATGCACTTTATAGGAAAAAGTGGCTAAGTACCTCCAGAGGGTTAAAGGACTGTAGAGCCCCAGCCCACAATGTTTCATGCGGGCTCAGCAGGGGCCTTTCTGTTCATAAAAGGGTCTTGTCAACCCCTAGCCCCTCAGGAAAGGCAGCAACCCACCACCTCTGCAGAAAGGGCCCAGCTCACAAGGCAGGCAGGGGTCACTCTACTGCAGGGAGCTCTTTAAAGTGCTAAAGATCAGGGACACCACTTTAAAGACGTAGGCATGCCTGGCCCAAGCTTTTGTATCTTCAATTGGTTCATATACATATGAAAACTGGACAAGGAATAAGGGATCCAAAGAATTAATGCTTTGAACTGTAGTTGTGTTGGAGAAGAGTAGGGAATATCCCATGAACCACTGTTGCTGTTGTTAGGTGCCATCAAGTCGAGTATGACCCTATACACAAAAGATCTGAACCCTGTCCTGTCCTGCGCCATCCTCACACTTCCTGACACACAAGAGCCCATTGCAGTAGTCACCATGTCAGACCATCTGGTTGAAGGTCTTCCTCTCCTTCGCTGACCCTCCGCCCTTCCCAACATTCATGTCCCTCTCCAAGGAACAGCACCTTCTAGCAATATGTCCAATGTATGTGAGTGAGGCAAAGCCTCACTATTCTTGCCTCCCAAGAGCACTCTGGCTGCACCCTCTCCAAGACATATATCTATTTGTTTTCTTGGCTGTTCAGGGGATATTCAGTGATCTTCTCCAACAGCACAGCTCAAAGGCACTAATTCTTTTTCTGTCATCTTCATTCACAGTCCAGGTCTTGGATGCATAGCTAGTTAATTGGAAAGACCATGACCTGAATCAGACACACCTTAGTCCTCAAACTGATGTCTGATGTCACTATTTCTAAATAACTTGGAAAGGTCCCTCACTGCAGATTTCCCCATTGCAATGTTTCTCCTGCTCATACCAAAGGTGTTAATTGTGGATCCAAGCAAGACGAAGCTGTTGACAGTTTCAATCTCCTCTCCATCCATATGACACCACCTGCTGGGTCAATGGTTAAGAATTTGGTTTCTTGACATTGAGACACAATCCATACTGAAGGCTACATTCCTTCATCTTCTGCAACAAGTGCTTCAAATCCCCCTTACTTTCAGCAAGTAAAGTGTCATCTGCATAATGCAGGTTATTGATGAGTCTCCTTCCAATCCTGATGCCACATTCCTCTGCAAAGAGTCCAGCTTCTCGGATAATTTCCTATGAACCATAAAAAGAACAAATGTGCTGAGAGAAAGTGCAGCCTGGGTGCTCCTTATAGGCGAGGATGGTGAGACTTCTCACACACTGTGGGCATGTTGTTAGGAAGGGTCAGTCCTTAGAAAATGACATCATGCTTGAAAAGTAAAGGGTCAGCAACAGGAAGGAAGATTTAACGAGATGGAGTGACCCAGTGGTTTAAGTTCAACGAGCTTAAGTACAACAGAGACTGTGGGTGACACAGGATGGGCAGGGTCTCGCTCGGCTGTGCATGCAGTTATTGTGGGTACAGGCTAACTTGATGCGGCTCAACAGAAGTCTGAAGCCAAACATCATCGAGAATGTAAGTTCCCTTCATTCTTGTCTCTAATGGGGTGCAGCGAGGGACAGAGACAGTTTATAACTTGTCCACCTTCCAAAATCTAGCACCCACGTGTCCTGATCTGTGAACCAACATAATTCCCCTCAACGGTCCTTTTTCTCCATTCTGTCCCTGTGATGTCATTTCTATAAAGCAGCACCTATGGGAGTCTGTTTGAGCACCCCAGTTTATAGGGTGTTGAGTAAGAACTCACGTTTTCTAGAGGGTTCACCTTGTGTGCCTTCTCCCCAAGAACTGACAGAGAGCGAGGGCTGCTGTAGGCTCCCTGTGAGAGGTGCAGATGCTGGAGCTCTCAGAGAACTCCTCCAAGGAGATGACCCACAGAAGTGGACCTGCAAGTCTTGGATGGGTCCTTGTCCACATGCAGAAGGTCCTGATGAGGTCAGCCAAAACCCCAACCCAACCCAAACCCACGGCCATCACATCAGTGCAGACTCCCGGAGACCCACCACCAGGTTTTCAAAGCTGTACAGCTTTATGAGAGGAGACTGCCTGTCTTCCTTCCACAGAGCAGTGTTGGATTTGAACCATTAACTTTTTGACTGGAAGCCCAACATGGAACCCACCATGTCACCAGTACCCCAAGGTCAACACTTGTTTAACCTTCCGGAAGCCAACAGCTGGATGTTAAGAGAACGTACCCGCTGCTTCACGGGCGGTGCCGGAAGCTGTGACATGCTCGCTAGCAGCAGCCACGCTCTCCGTGATTCCTTCCAAAGAGAAAGGCTTGACGCCGTCATCACACAGACTACTTCCAGGAAGACGCAACTTGGCTTTTATTGTAGTAAGTTTCCAAAAGAACCCCGACTCTGCTAGCCAGCCAAGACATCCCAGATCACACATTGGGGAGGCCACAACCCCAGCCCTGTCACTTATGCCACCCATGCCCTTGTGACGTGGTGAGACACACACACGTGTCCACACTGACATGCACACTCACCCACACTCGTCATGTGCACACATCGCTCATACCCACCTCCCTCATATCCATGCACATACGCGCACACTCCCACACTCAAGCACACTCCTCTATGTGCACTCACGCCCGTGCTCCTGTCCGCTCACTGATGCCCACAGGTGCCCTCACACACGTGCACACTGACACGCATCCACAGTTTGTAACTTGGGGAGGATTCACAGTGGAGACAGCTGATGGCCTCACGTTCTCCAAGTGGCCACATGCTCCGGTTCAGGTGGTTCCCTGATGGCTGTCCTTCCCTTCTGCTTAGGCAGGAGGTGGGTCTGCGGCCGCACGCAGGGGCAGCTCGAGTGGACAGTGCCACTGCGCCGTTTCCCACCTCGGGAGACTGGAAGGCATGGTAGAGATCCCCCGTCGGCAGGGCGGAAAGTCCTGTCTCTCGAGCGATTGGGTCCCCATCACTTCTGGTCATGGCATGAGCGTGAGGCCAGGACGGTTACAGTCGGGCGGCCCGCAGTTCCCTCAGTGCGGCCTGCAGCAGGCTCCGGAGCTTCCAGAAGATACGAGGGGCTGTTGTCTGGGGTACAGCGGGGCCCCGGGGGTCTGCACACTGCTTCACCACCTCCTGTAACTGCCGCCGCAGTGGGAAGGAGACGCCAGAGCCCTCGAGAAGTGAGGAGAACAAATGACGAAGGATCTTGTCACAGATGACCTGAGGGACAGAGAGGGGCGGGTGATCCGGGGCAGGGGCCAGCCCACCCAGGCCCAGGCGGACCCTGGCGCCTTTCATGTTTTATGTCTTTTTTTGTGGAGAATTTGAGAATATAAACTACGGAGTATGCACCAATTCTAAGTGCACAACCCACTGACATTCCTTCAGTGGTGCTGTGGGCCTCAGCCGCCTCTCCTGAGCCAACATGAACTCTCATGAGCATAAACTCCCTGCCCCTAAGCTCCCTGTCAATTCTCTCCAGTTGTCGTCAGCTGATCCCACACGGATAGATCATAAAAGACAATACCTAAGGCAGACATTCTACCGTTTGGCTTTAAAACTTCCAGGAATAATTTTGGTTTATCTCAGGATAAGAAGAGCTCCAGGGTTTCGTCCAGCCTCCATGGACCCAGGGTATCTGATTCCATGACAATTTGAAATTCCATTTTCTATTTCCCCCCTTTTATCAGGATTCTTTTATAGTGTCTTTGAAATGTTCCTGGTACCTGCTCGTAGCAGACCTGGTTCCTCAGGAAGATTGTCATGGAGAATGAGGACTTTAAACAGTGTCCATGACCCCCAACGCCACACAGTGTGCTCTGAGAGGAGCAGAGCCCTGCAGACCTCGGTCTTTGATAACAGTATTACGGAAAACTTTGAAATAGAATCACAAAGAACAAAACAATACACAGACATGAAACGGGCAAATGCTATCAGGAAAATGGTGCCGATTGACTTGCTGGATGCAAGGTTGCCACAAATGCTCAATTTATTTTTTTTAAAAGTATTTACAAAGCACCATAAAGCAAACTGGAATCAACAGGGTGTGCCTGCTTTCCAGAGGAAGAAAGCCCGCGTGTGAGGCAGGAGATGGATGACCCCCAGTCTCGGAGCAGAAACAGAGGTCGAGGTGAGGCTCCCAGGACGACTGAGCAGAACAGAGCAGGAGGCAGTCAGTGCTGGGTCGGGCAGGGACCACCCGCCTTCCTCCTCCACCCACACTGAGCCCACCTCCCATCCCTACATTGGCCGGTAACAAGGCTAACCACCCAGGTCCTGCAGCCAAACAGTGGGTGTGAGAGAGAAAGCTGCACGCCACGGTGAGTTATGACCCTCGCACCATGAGAAAAGGGCAAGTCGGAGGACAAGGCTCCTTTGTTTTACTTTTGAAGCAGAAAGAAACTACGGCACTCCTCTCATCTTTCATTCAAGTAGGCCACGGAGTTCAGGGGTGCTGTGCTCTCTTTAGATTTCTGGTTTAAAAATATCACTTCTCTCAAAGCCTTTATAGCTGCCCCCCATTGGGAGAACAGGGCTAGGAGGGAAATCCTGAATTGACTCTATTAAAATGCACCACACTTTCCTTCACACTAATTGAAAAAGTGCCTCAGCTTCCAGGGCTACTGTTTCACAGAGGATTGAGTTAACGCCCATTTCCCATCAAACCTGTTTGAAAGCAGGGATTCTTCTAGAAACAAATTATTCTGCTCCCTTTTTGAGCAGTTGGTACATTTTCATTTAAGTGCAAAATTTAAAATATCCCCAAGACAATCAGCCACTCAGCCCCCTTCCCATCCTCTAGGCAGCATCCCACAGTCTTCTAGGAGTCTGTGCCTAGATGTGTGGGTCCCTCCTTCTCCTTCCAACAAACAGAAGTAATGTGCATTCTCTGTGACTCGGTCCCCTTCTCACTCAGCTGTGTGTCACTGAGGTCATTTTGATGAAATGACTGCAGAGTTCATTCATTTCAAGCAGAGAAAGCCTGAGAATAACAAGTCGAGGTTCATATTAGGCTGTGAAACCCCCACGCTCTTGGCTGTTATCCTGGGATTTCCCCACACCTCTGAGCAACCTGTGTCTTGCAAAGGGCTTCTAAGCAGCCGGAGGGAGGGCGGGCTGCCAGGCTGGGGACGACTGTCTTTTGTCCACAGGAAGCATTTTTCCTTTTATTCCTATAAGGCGCCAGGTTGGTTAGCACTGGTTCTTTGGATTTTACAGGCAACTTACAACATACCACAGATACCGCTCCAGATCAATCTTAAAGGATGTTATATCATTGCAAAGAGGACTGGGGTGGGGGAGGTAAGTAATTGTGCAACAGTGAATAAATACTAAAAAAAAAAAAAGTGAACTGGGGGAGGGGTGAGGGAGAGCCAGGGGGTAAAATGTGCAATAATGAATGAATGAAAATCTAACTTCTCTGTAAGTGTTCATTAAAATCACAATTAAAACTTTAAAGAGAAAAGAAAAAGCTGTTCCATTTGGTTTAGGGCTGGTTAAATATGCTGTATCCCATCCTGTTTTGTTGGGGTTTTCCCCCAAGAAATGAACAGGCCTTTATTGCCTGGTCTGAAAGGGATGCCAAGTAAGCACTAGGGGAGATGGTCAAAATGGCCCTAGGGCAGTTAAGGGCTGTTTCCTTTTATAGGGTTTTAGGATGGATGAGGGAAGAACTTGAACTTGGGACTGTTGATTAAGTTGGGTTTGGGCTTTTGTGATCAGGCCGAGAGTCTTATCAGGAGCCACTGTCTGGTCTGGTCTTTTGATCTGGCCACCTTAGATGTAATCAGATTTCTCAAGGAGTGATCAGACCTGAGGGCGACTGCCACTTTCTTCCTCTACCTGCACGCCTGCATGGAGCCCCACGCACCCCTAATTGTTTTCTATTGGATCAGAGCTGCTGGCAGCCTAGAGGTAAGGAGCTGAGCTGCCAGCTTGAAGGCATGCAGTTCGAATCCATCAGCTGCTCCATGGGAGAAAGATGGGCAGTCTCCTCTCAAGTGGCTTACTGCCTCGGGAAGCCTGCTGTGGGGGTCAGCTATGAGTTGGGTTTGAGTCAATGGCACACAGCAACTCCCCCTGCTGGTAGTGATGTGGGTATTTGCTGACCTTTGCCCTGGAGAATAACCCCATGAGGAACAGTTTACCTGTACAATATCTCCGTTTTGCAAATCTTAAAAGTCCACCCATTGACTAAATGCTTAGAAATGCAGTGCTTGGGTTGGAGCCTGATCTGTATATATTTTGGGGGGGTTTAAATAATTTTTTTATATCGGTTTGAAAACAAAATTTGTATACATTATGTTTCATATGATCATTCCCATTCACTGTGTTTTATAAAATGAATCCCCATTGATCGTTGTCCACCATTTGTCTGCCTTTTCAGGTCCCCCCGGATCTTGCCTAATTCCTTTACCCCCTTGCTGTACCCACCAAACTCTGCAACCTCAAGATTCACCCCCTCCTCACCCTCAGCACTCCTCCTCCCTCCCCTTCCCCTTTTGGACTTGTGTACACATCTTACTAGTAATCTAAACAGTGAAGATCTTAGGCAGCATTTGTCCTTATGAGACTGAGCGAGTTCACTCAACATAATGCTCTCCAGACTCTCCCATGTTACACTGTATTTTGATAATTGTGTTGCCATGTAAACTTCATGAAAGCTGAGACCCCTTCACACACCCACAGCATTCTCCCAGAGCACCGGTGGGTCCTACTCATTTGGAGTTGTGACATAAATGCCCCAAGTGGGTGGCCTTCCAGGACAGGAATGCATGGTCTCACAGCTCAGGATGCTGGGAGCCCAAATCGAGGTGCTGGCTCAGGGGAAGGGCCCCCCTTGTCGGAAGACCTGGCCTCCTTGGCATCTGTATTCTGCCTTTTTTAAGGTGTCAGGTTTAAGACCAACTCTGCACTAGGTCACTTCCTCAGCACCAACCAGAACACCCCTAATTCCAGACAAGACCATAAAATCCATCTAAAGTCAGACTCTGGGTTTTCTATCTAAAATGAGACTCCTATTTTTGGCAACTTGTGGGTGAAATGGTTTAGTGTCCATTTTTCTAATTACCAGTGAGGCCAAGAGCTATCAGTATGGAGTTCTGGGGTCTTTGTGCTGACAGCAAGGTCATTAGTTCAAACCCACCAGCCACGCTGAGGGACAGAGATGAGTGGCCTCTTCCCTTAAAGATTTCCACCTTGGGAACCTGAAAGAGGGTCGTCATGCATCAGAGCCAGGCACACGGAGATCGATCTGAAAAGTCTAAAAGCCTATTAAAGGCAATGGTGTTATGAAAATGTTTAAGATACTGCAAGAATGGCCAACGTGTGACACTGAGACAGCAAGTATCTGTGGCTGCTGGGAAAATGACACCAGTACGCTTGCTGGAAGCAGGGTGCCAAAGACCAGCAATCTGTCAGAAATGCAGAATTTGAGGGGTGCAATAAAGTGAGAGTACTCACCCCATCTGTGGTGCTCTATGCTGATACCAAGAAATAAACATGTTTCTCTACTGAGCAGATGGAAGCTAGGAGCCAGGACACAGTATCAAAGGGGTATGGATGTGCTGAAGGGCAGAGCCAGCCCCCCAGATTCCCTCCCCCCGTCCGCCCATCTGTCCGTGGGGCACGGGGTGGGGATCGCTCACCTGCAGATTGCTGTTGACTCGCTGGGCTCCACACCTGTTGGTTCGCAAATCACACTTTGAAAAACAGTCAAAGAAATTGCAGTCTTCATCTCCGGTGCAATTCTGCTCCAGGATTTCCCTCATTTTAGGTTCAAAAAAGGCCATGTCCACGTCAATCGCCACTACCTGTAATTAAAACAGCACATGGCTATGACCCTCAAAATGACGGCCTGACACACAACTGTAACAAGGGGCTCAGGTGTGTCGGAGGTGCTGGGGATGGCACAGGACAAGCAGGGTTTAGGTCCCCAGAGGGCTGCTACGCGTCACAGTCCATTTCATGGCACCACAGCACGGCCCTCCCTGGAACATTGGGAACCAGCTCAGCACCTTTCGGCTGCAGCTGCACTTGTTGCTAGATCACAATTATACAGCTCTGCTCCTTGGTTAAGTGCGTGGCTTCTAACTAAAGGGTCAGTGGTTCGAAACCACCCAGAAGCTCTAAGGAAGGAAAAACCTGACAGTCTGTTCCAGAGAGATGGCAGCCGATAGGCCTTCCTCCTCTAACGGACTCCACGTCCTCAGCCCAGCTCTGCTCGCTGGGGAGGAGCCCACACCAGTCTGACATGAGCGGGCTCTGCCCCAGCATGTGTCAGCCTCATCTCGTCCTCCAGCAGTGGTCATCATGGGTTCTAGTCCCACCTTTCCCCTGCAGAAGTCACTCTTTCAAGACTAGAGTCAGGAACTAGAATTATCATTTTTCATCTGTAAGAATTTTCTCTGCTTTAAAAGCAGAATTTCTAAAAATGGCACTCCCTCCATCCCTTTATCCCTTCGAAGATCAGAATTATAAAAATGTGGGATGCATGTCATTGCTTCTGAACACGTAAAGCCGGAAAGGCAGCTACGATTCAGGGCAGGTCTGAGAGTGTAAAGATGAAATAGGGTGGGCGAGCCAGGGGTACTGGGGATACAGGGAGCTCTGTGGCTGCTACTGGAGCCCGCTGATGGGAACCCAGGGCAGGGATGGAGAAAGTTCTCAAACCAAGATCGCCCCTGACCTCACGCCTACAGTCTCAAAATCCCCCATTGCCCTCCCATCTGAACCGACTCAGAGCTAAGCCTCCAGTGGGTTTTCAGAGGCTGTAAATCGCCTGGGAGGAGAATGTGCATCCTTCTCCCACGGAGGCGTCGGTGCAGGCGAACCACCAGAGGCACTGCCTTGGGGTCAGGAGCACAGCCCGCTGGGATGAAGCCATCAGAGCACCAGACGCCACCTCAGCATGGGAACCTGGCGAACCCACGCAATTACAGATGCATCTTCTGGCTTCAAACCAAACAGACTTCAACAACAGAGAAACCATCATTTCTAAATTATGCAGCCTGCTCGCCACCTGGAGGAGGGGGGAAGAAGAGTGAAAACCTGGAGTGGGCCCAAACCTTGCAGTTCGTAGCTCGGAGGAATTACTGAGCGAGGCAGGTTTGACAGGCCTACGGCCCCTGGAAAGCCTTCACAGGTCAGCACCTCCGGGCAGCTCCTGCCTCCCCCGGGAGCCAAGCAGAAAGGGGTCTTTGTCCAGGCATCCTGCAGTGGTGGGGGGCAGCTCCCTGGGTTGGGTTTTGTTTTACGCTCCAGATCGATGCTGGAAGGCACCAAAGTTTCTCAGGGATTATCGGGGAGGGAAAGAGGTTATGTAAAAACATATGAGAAGGAAAATCAAAGGCTGCAGTGGAAGTGGAGATCACGCTGCTTAAAGGTTGTATCTAATTACAAACCGAGGCACGGCAAGCTGAATTCAGCGTTTTAATCGATCTTTCTTACCTCCTGATTAGGACAAAATCAAAAGGGCAGCTCACCATTTACCCTGGTGAGGACTCTGCTGCAGGAGGTGAGCCTGCCATCCTTCTCATTCCGTGAGGCCCCCACACGCTCCTTTCTGCAGATCCTGGCACTCTCTCGGCCCCCTTGGTACAATTTCACTCTGCACGACCACATGTTCTCATTCCTGCCCGTTTTTTCCTCATCTCCCAAGAAGAGCAAGATCTCCGGTTTCAGTGTGAGGCAGAGCGAAGTAGCTGTGTTAGGATCTAATCCTGTTAGAATGTTGCTGTTGTTGTGAGTCACTGAGCAGTAGCCAACACAAAACTGACCCTCCAGCTGGTTTCCAGAAGCAGGGTATCTCAGGGAAGAGACTGCCCGTCCTCCTGTGGAGCAGCCCTTGGGTTCAAACTGTACCTTAGTGTTGGCAGCGTGGTTCCTGACTCCTAAGTCCCCAGAGCTCCCTCCTGCAACAAACTCCTCTGTGGTGTGTCTAAGGGAACATGGCGGCGGCGCGAGGAGTGAGCCTTGACTCACAGCACACGCATGACCGATCCTGTGCCCCCACAGCCTCTGCTGTGCTCGAGACCTCTGCTGTGGAGGGTGTGTTGGTGCACCTCGCTGTGGGGCTTCCTCCCCTTCCTCAACCCTCTGCTTTAGCCAGCACCATGTCTTGGGAAGTCCTTCTGCAGGAAGCTGAGTAGTTCACATCGTCTTCTGCGTCATTATCTGTCCTGGGATCTAGGAGACTCAATCGTCTTCCACAAAAAATGAGAGGGACGGAGAGGAGACGAGGAGACACCTCCTTGTCTCTAGCTTCCAAGGCTCCAGCATGTTTTGAGACTGCACTGGGTGGCTGAACTGTGAGGAGACAGCATTGCTCTGTGACCCAGCACTGTCACCAGCAGGGACAGGAGGCCTCTGTCCAGGTGCTGAGCCCTGAGCCCGAGAGCTTCCTTCTACCCCTGGTGCCACCCCTGCTCCTGGGGCACCGTGAGATGCAGCTATGGTGAAGCTTGACCAGAGAGGAAGCTGCACCGATGCCAACCTTGTTTTCTCAACCACAGGCAGGTCCTGAGCCCACAGGAAGGTTGAGGCTGGCAGGGAGAGAGCCAGCTATCTGTCCAGTCATGACTTTAGGACTGTCATTCATCTTGTGAACACGCTGAAGCTGGACAATGACGAAGGTAGGCTGAGAGCAGACTGAGGCCAGATGTGGTGACAGTGACTGTGGAACACACCATGGACCTCCAGAAAACAAACAAGTCTTCCAGGGACTTGCAGCCAAATGACTTCTTAGACATGAGGAGATGAGACATTATCTAATGGGCTTCGAAAGAGCTGAGGGGGATCCAGGCCCTGGAGAAGGGCCTTCTGCCTGGAAAAGTGGGTCAGTGAAGGAGACAAACGACAGGGGCTGCAGCTGGCACTCAGACATTCCGTGGTTGTGAGGATGAGAGCTCTGTCAGCCACGTGGCTGCTGTGGGTCGGAGCTGGCCTGCCGCACAGAACTATGCTTTCAAAGGGCCTTGCTGGGTTTGGGACCAGAGCCAGGCAGCGCCTGGCGTTTCAGCTCTGGCTGCTGTAAGCTCTGCGTCACCATGAAGAGATGCACAGTAGTCTGGTGACAGCTCGGTGACAGCGTCTGCACGGCCATCCATCAGAGTTCACCTGTCCCTCCAGAGGCCACAAACCGGAAGGGACAGGCGTTCACCCTTCCGAGAAAGAAGCGCTGGGACGGGCGCAGGTGACCTTAGCGGAGTCTGGACAGCAGGCGTGCAGGTGATCTTAGCGGGGTCTGGACGGCAGGGGCGGAGTGACCTTAGTGGGGTCTGGATGACGGGTGCAGGTGACCTTAGCAGGGACAACAGGGCCCCCTGAAGCCCAGCACACCAGCTCGTCCGCACCTTGTGCCCCCACCCCTGGCGTCTCCACCCCCTCCCCGGCCCCACTCACCGTCAGGTCGCTCCTGATGGCGAAGTTCTCCGGCTTGACGTCGCAAAGGTGCAGGCGGTGGGCGAAGTCCTGCTCGAAGTGCTGCACCATGTCCAGGAAGCCAAGCGCCACGCTGGCCGCCCCTGCCCGGGCCCCACGTGCGCCCAGCGGGAAGAGCGCGCGCAGCTGCGCACTGCCGGCCGCCAGGCGCTCCACCGCGTAGAAATGGCCACACGAGCCCAGCACGGGCGGCACGTGGCTGCTCAGGCCGCGCAGCAGGCTCAGCTGGAGGAACTCGTCCTGCTGCAGCAGCGCCCACAGGCTGGCCACCTGCCCGCGCCAGCCGGGGCCCCGGCGTCCCGGCCACAGGCGACCCAGGCTGCTGTTGGCCAGCTCCAGGCCCAGCGCGCTCTTGACCTCGCCAGCCAGCAGCAGCAGCAGCTCGGCTTCGGGCACGGCCTGGTCCTCGTCGGCCGCCTGCGGCAGGCCCGGCGGCTGGAAGCTGGAGAAGGCCTCCTCCTTGGACTTGAGGATGACCGGCCGGCCGCGCCAGTCCGCCTGCAGCACCTTCTTCCCGCGCTCGTGGTACAGGCAGCGCCGGTACACCAGCTGGCCGGCCACGCACAGGTCCTCGCAGAGGTCGCCCACCAGCGCGCCGCCCTCATAGTCCTGGCACTGTGAGGAGGAGGAGGGGGGGACAGTGTCACTGCGGCCACACGGCCCTTTGTTCCCTCTTTGTCCCAGAGTCATGCAGATGCTGCCCCTTCAGTGCCTAAAGCATCTTGTTATTAAAGGGGCTGCCCCCTCCTAACGCATCGATAGCTGCCCCGAATTTAAAAGCTTCCAGTTCACCAACTAAAACACGGAGGTATGAAAACGCACAGGAGAATGGCTCCAAAAGAAAGCAGCTCAACATTTAACTGCTGGGCTAGTGGCAAGAAGCTGCGCCGTAATTGAAAAGGCACGCGGTTCAAGGCCACCAGCTAGAGCAGAATGGGCGAACTGCCTGTGCGATGAACTGGTGGAGGGCCAGCTGGGGGTCAGTTTCCACCCTAAGGTACAACAGCAAACCCAGCAGAAACCAACTCCAAATGTTACATTAAAAAACAGGCAGCCCCGCTCTGCACCACCTCCTCTCTAGTCTCCCGAGAAGTAAGGAAAACAAAACAGGTGGGGACAATACAGACAAGGGGAGGAAGAAACAGGAATTTCTTGGGCCAAGGTCTTGTGTGACCAGCGAGATGCCAGATGGAGCTCTGAGGCACACGTGCACCCTATTAACGAACCCCCAACACCCAACACCTGAGCGTCCTTTACAAAGGTATCCAGTGCTGGGGAAGAGTTACAAGAACTCAGGACTGCTGTTCGGGATGATGGAGCTCACTCTCCGTGGGCAAAGGCACAACTTAACTCCTTAAGCCTTCATTTAAACACCCCTCAAGATTGGAAAAATATGGAAAGGGCCCGATCCTTTATTAACCATCGGGGGAGGTTTTGCTTGTATTTTCCCAAAGAACGAACCACATCGTGTGTGGGTCCCTGCGCTGTCATGTCCGATTCCAGACCGCCTACAGAGAAGATGCATCAATTGAACAACCACGACAAAAAGATGAGACAGAGGAAAAGGAAGCCAGAGCCCCAGATGCCACAGACACCTGGGATGTGCTGAAGGCACTCAACTTTAACCTGGAAGTGGTACACCCAGTGGTCCTGTGTCTATAAGACTGCTAATTGCTGCTTTAACCATCAATAGCACCACAGCAGGAGAAGCTAATCAGGTTTTGTAAACTCTTGTTTCATTGTTTCATCACCCGCACTTCCTATATTAGTCTTCTGCAATAGGCCCTGCAATCTTATATTCGTCACTTTTCTCGCTATCCTCTGTTTGTCTCTTAATTAATCTTAATAAAACTACCACCATATATATTAAATCTAAAAAAAAAAGAACAACCCAACAAAACAAACAACAAGCAGCCATTGCCCCCCTCCCAACTGCTGTCGGGTTGGTTCCCGGGTTTAGCGACCCAGGAGGGCAAGAGCACTACTTCTCCAGAGGGTTTCTGAGGCCGTCACCTCAGCTTCAGCTTTCTCCCCTTGAACAGACTGGAAGCTTTTACTTAAGTGGCGGCTAGGGTGGCGGAGTGGGAAGGAGTGATGATGCCCCCCGAAGGGCACTGGTTATTGAATGATATTCTGGGCCACGTGTCCTCACTATGTGAATCTGAGTGTACCTTCTTGATGGCCACTTACTAACAACAAAAGAATATAGAACTTAGTCACAAAATATTCCTCCAGTGCCTGGCTGTGTAAATAGCCCCAGCATCCGGAAAGCTCAGGAAAAGTCTTCGCACCTCATTTGGGCAGCAGAGCCTGCCCTGACCTCCTAAGGGGCAGGCCGCCACCTGAGAGGCTCGGCAGCTGTTTTCGGTCCTTGCACCTGGCTTAGCATGCATTTGCACACACTCTGGGGCAGAATCAATCCTGCACATCACAGGAGCTGCCAGGGTGCCCTGTGCGCATCCTGCAAAGCCCAAGATCATGGCTCACAGTAGCTTCTAACTTCCCACTGTCTGTGTTCAAAGGGCCCTGGCCCCAGACTCTTTCATCCTCGTAGGCTATGAGGCTATGTAAATCCTGTCGGCTAACTGCTCAGAGCCCTGGGGCACAGCGGGCTGCTAACTGCAATGTCCGTAGTTCAAATCCACCAGTCTCTCCAGGGGAGAAGGCTCAGGCAGTCTGCTCCTGTGAAGAGTTAAACCTAGGAAGCCCCTCGGAACAGTTCCACTCTATCCTGTTAGGTCAACACAAGTCAAAATTGACTCACTGGTGTTTTGGGAGGCTTAAATTTGTTGAAGTAACAAGTCCTGATGCGTTGTAGATAAGTACTCCATGCTGACTGAGGTACAGCTACGGGAAAGGGCCTGGGCATCAGGAACTTACACTCACTGGCATTCAATAAGTACTACTCAGTGGTCTACAGGAAAGGGCCTGGCCACCTGAGAACTACCACTCACTGCCTCCACAGGAAAGGGCCGGGCTATCTGCTCCCTTAAGAATTTTCTGATTTGAGTAAAAATTCACAAAGCAGATTGGTTTTCCATTCAATCATTCATACACATTTGGTTTGTAACATTAGTTACAATACCCACAATGTCACACTCTTTCCACTCCTTCCCTGAAATTCTTATCTCCATTAATCCTTCTGCTCACATAGAGATTGTGGCCCAGAAGCCCCAGGAGGCACTCCTGTTCTGTCTACAAAGCTTCTGTGTCAACAGCTCCAGCAATGAGTCAAAACCCTCAGCACCAAACACCCCCTGCAACCAGTCTCCAGGCCCCGATTGTCCAGGGCTGACCCTCCAGCAGTGTGTGGCACCAAGGCCAGTCATCTGATCTGACCTGCTGGGGTTTGCAGGGGGAGGGGCAGCAAGCACCCCTCTTCTGCTGCTTTAGCTTTTTGTCGGGCAGACTGCATGGCAGAGTGTTGCCCTTCAGGACACAGTGAGGGAGTGATATCGATCTGCAGAAACAGTCCTGAATGTGATCCCAGAGTTGGAAAAGCCACCCTGTTCGCCCAGGGCTGGGTTTTGTCTCTGAAAAACAAAGGGCCCTAGCGAAGCTGTCCTGATGTACACCCAGACAGCCCTCTCACACACCGAGTTGTGTTATGCGTGCAGGTCATTGGGGAATTTCACCAAATGTGATCTGGGTAAAGCTCATTCTTCCGTGTTTACTCCTGGGAGCTCTTTCCGAGACGAGGCCACAGAGGGAGCACTGGAAGGAACGGGACTCTTGGGGTCAGTGGCTCTCTTAACTTCTAACTGCTTCCATACTCCCCTCCCTGGCCCCATTTGTAAGAAAACAGTCACTGGTTTCAGCTCCCAGACACCCTTCAGGAGATCTTGGGAGGTGAAGTGCAGGTTCAAGCCCAGTGACTGACTGAGCCAGGAGCATCCAGGAAAAAAATGTCAGGAAGAGAGAATTTGGGTGCTTAGTTTACTTGCAGAGGTTTTTTGGTTTGTTTTTCTTCCCTCTTATCTGATATTGTACAAACTCATATCTCTCTAATAAACCTGATAAGAAATGCAGTATTTATAAAAACTTCCTGACAAAGCCAAAAAGCCCTGTACAATATCCAGAACAGCTTGATTCACTCCCGTGCACATTTTTTGTAGTGTTAGCACATTTGTACTTTAACCCCAAGTGCCGGCATAAAGCATGCAGAGCAGCGTGGGTGCTGATGGAGGGGATCCCAGGGAAAGCGGCCCCCAGCTTGGAGGGGTTGGGGGAGCCCTGCCCCATGGCTAGGGGAACAGATAGAGGCTCACAGGTCAGACTCCATGGGGTGCCATGGCGGACTCCAGCTGCCTGTGAAAACTGGCCCACCGTCCTTTTAGGGAGCTCTTGTGGTTTCCTGGTAAGAAGCTGCACTGCAATCCCAAAGGCACCCAGTTCTGATCCACCAGCTGCTGGGCAGGAGAAGGATGGGCGATCTCCCCACACGATTTGCTGTCTCTGAAAAGCCTCCGGAGGGTCAGCTCTCGGTTGGCTCTGATCCAACTGCACACGACAACAATCATTCTTCTCATCTGGGCCATGATGAGCCCTTGCCACGAAAAACCCGTGGGTTCCAAGCCAGCTCTGGTCACCAGGGTTGGGAAGGTCATAGACAAGGACTCTGGGCTTCAGCTACACCTCAAAAAAGAAGCCAAAGCAACTATCGTCGGGACCACTCTGTCTTCTGAGGCCCCTGTGTGCTGCGGCAGAACCTGCGCCTCACGTCCCCAGCGGCCGGCCTCTCTGACCAGCATCTCGACACGTCCTCAGTGGCCGGCCTCTCTGACCAGCACCTCCACACATCCTCAGTGCATGACCCTGCGGACCAGCACGCTTTCCCCTGAAGCATTTCTGGGTGAAGCAGGTCACCTTTTTGTTAGTGCATCAGTTAAAATGCCAAAGTCAGACCTCCTAAAAGTGAAGCGCTCATGCTCATCCAAAGGCTTCACCAAAAGAGCAAAACAACATCATCAATAGCAAAAACGCCACAGATGGGGGAGGGGAAGTGATAATATCTGGCAAGGGTCTAATTTCTTTTTTTTTTAAATTTTTTTTTTATTTTATTTTTGTGTGTGTGTACCGTCAAATCAGATCTGACTGGTACAGGAGGAGATTGTCCCTCCTTCCCCGGCAGAGCATCTGGTGGAAGGGATCTAATTTCTAAAATATATGTGAACAACTCAACCAAAAGACACAAACAATGCAATAAAAAGATGGACAAAGGACATCAACAGATACTTCACTAAAGAAGAAATTCAGACAGCAACAAATTTTAAAAAATGCTTATGGTTATTAGCTATCAAAGAGAAGCAAATTTTTAAAAATAAAAATAAAGATATGCGAATCAAAAACAAGGAACTAACATCTCAATCCTTTTAAAAAATGACATTGGTTAAAACCATGGAAAACAGTAAGTGCTAGAGAGGTTATGGGGAGAATCTAACTCTTACACACTGATGGTACTCGTCACGGAGATGGCATCATCTCAGAAATGGCCTTCCACTGGGTACCTTGCATTGCGTGAAAGGAGATTAACTATCTCTCTCCCACAGAGCAGCTGATGGATTTGAACTGTCAGCAGGGTACAACTACCGCGTAAAAAGGTGTGGCACTCAGAG